TTACTGTTGTTCAGGAGAATGTACATAATAGGCTACTACTACTACTAATAAAATGATTAAAACCTTATTTGTAAGGAATAATCATATAATATTTCTTCAATGTTTTAATTGTAATATTAAATCCCCTTTATTTTCCAAAAAAATTTAATGTGTTCAATTTCCATTATTTCAAAGATAAATTAAATTAATGTTTTATGCCTTTAAAAATGTAAATACACAATACAGAATTTCTGAGGGGAATTTTTTTTTTTTTAATTAATTTAAATTTATTAAACTTGTTTTTATGCTTTTAAATAATTAGACATGCTAAAACACAGAATTTGGTAACAATAAAACATAAGGTTGGAAAAAATAAAACATTTCATAGTACCCTAAACATGTAATTTGTGTTAAAATTTTAATAAATTGATGTTAAATTAAGTTTAATGATAATTAATTAATTAGATTATAATTAATTAGACATGCTTTTTGATTAATAAAAGTTTATTTAACCATTAAAAAGGAGTCCAGAAAAATTGTAAAAAGCCGTAAACCTAAGGGAAGCACTGACTTTATGCAATAGATAGCCTTAAATCAAGCAGCTTTACAGTATTAAACATGAAAAACCAGATTCAGTGTCGCTTTCAGTTAGAATTACAACTTGATTTTCTGTTATAAAGCAGCTCTCCAGTGTGGAGCTAGCTAATGATAAAATCTTTTTATTAGTGGGGAAAACAACATTTCATTAAAGTTATAGTTTGGTTTGCAGAGATCAAAGCTTGATCTAGCTCAGGACCATTTTGATTATCACAACCCTATAAGGTATTTTAAGAGAGATTATGTTGTGAATAAAATAGTTTATCCAAAAATAAAATGGCTCATCACTTACCTTTATTTTGTTTCTTATCCATATGACTTTTAGGCAGATTTTAGGCAGAATGATGTGTCATTCAGCTACTTTTTCATATAAATAAATGGTGAATAAGAGAGTTTCTCTGCCATCTCATTTTGTGTGCCAAATATATTTATTTGTATAAATTAATTGTAAAAGCTGAATAATCAATAAATGTCTACTGATTAATCAGCGAAATAGTCGATGATTAGTCGATTAATCGGTCTAATAATCGTTAGATTAATCGATTATCAAAATAATCGTTTGTTGCAGCCCTACCAACAACACCAATAAAGTTTATCTTAAGTTCAAAGATCATCCAAATAAAAATAAAAAAAACTATGTATGAAGTGTAATCTTCATACATGCAAAAGCTCTTTAAAATCTCTTAAGCTGACATTTATGTAAAAGACAATGTATCATCAACCTCTCATTCCTGACTCTCCCCAGAGAGAGGACAGATTAGTTTTCCATGACCATGCAATGGCATCTGTGAGGTCATTGTTTCAAGGTGCTCTCTGCGTTCATACAGCTGCTGACAAGGCAATAACCACCACTAAGAACTTGCCTATTGCAAGCAAGAAAAAGCCACACATCACTGATGATCAGCTCAAACAATCGATCCTAGTGTTATCCGGTAGTTTCCATTCAGGAATTCTGCAACTTATGATCTGCTTGTAATTGCAATTGTGGTGAGCAGCTGTCATTCAAGTCATGAGAACATACAGAGCAATACAAGTGCAAGTAGTGTTTCAGATGAATACAATCGGAGTTATATTAAAAAACATCCTGGCTCTTCCAGCTTTTATAATGGGAGTGGATGGTAGCCTAAAATTTGAAGTCCAAAAAATTGAACCAATTCATTATAAAAGAAGTCCACACGTCTCTGGGGGGTTAATAAAGGCCTCCCGAAGCGAAGCGTTTGTGTAAGAAAAAATATCCATATTTACAACTTTATAAACCTTAATCTCTAACTTCCGCTAACTGTCGTACGCACGTTCACGAACGAGAGGCGTCCAGCAGATGACGTAGGCGTAGCGTAAACTCCGGTGAGAGTCTCGCGAGAAACAAG